CCCCATCACCCTCCAGCATATGTGCAGTTTCTGCTCAAATATTTTTTTGTTGTTGTGGATTTTTGTAACAGGGATAACTAGGATCATACATGCTTTGTTTGAACTATGTTTGTTCTCTACTTCTAAACTCAGCATTTCTTTATCCATGCCTGTGATAAGAAGTTTGTTTTGAAGTTGTGAGATGCAATCTTGGAAGTTGCTGTGACTGGATTTGATTAAACTTTTAAGCCTCTCATTATAAAATAAATATTTTGATTGTAATGAGAAATCTGCTTCCTGGTATGCTGAAGTACCAATAGTTTGCATCCAATTATTTAATTAAATGGCCTTAGTTTTTGTAGATATATAACAATTACGCTCTATATTGTAGTTATTGATCTGTCGTTACTATATTTTAATTTGACGAACCGCATCATCTCAGCGTTATTTTTCCTGTTCGTGCGATTGTAGTCGCGGCTCCTGACTTGGCCGGACCAGAGCGGAGCAAAAAAGTAGCTCTGCTCCGTATTTGGATGTGCGGATGAGTAGTGGTGAATGGAACAGTTCTCATTGATTAACATGACAGACAAGTACTCAGCACAACATACGTGAGCTGTTCGGAGCAGAACGATGACGGAGGATGTGGAATTTGGGAGTAAAAGTAGCAGGATACTGACAGGCTACAACGGATCTATATGTTTTGTTCATCCCCTGCAGAACCAGAGACCTTTACCAAGGATAAAAATAGCTGGATTGTTTAAGTTTCTGTTTCATTTGGAAGCCAAGCTCCCAGAGTCTGGAGGAAGAGTGTTTAGACCAGGGATTCTTAACCCTGGTCCTCAGGCACAACTGTCCTTCATGTTTTAGATGTGTCTCTACTTAAAGCCCACTTATCCAAACGATTGCATTTCCTTCTCCACAGCCCACAAATGCTGCAAAAGCCTGTTAATTACCTTTTCATCCAGGTCAGGTGTGTGGAGGCAGGGAAACACCTAAAACATGTAGGACAGTGGTCCCTGAGGAACAAGGTTAAGAGACTCTGGTTTAGACTCAAAATTTAGCGAAGATGTTTGGAGCCATGACACCTGCTGGTGGTGGTCCACCGTGTTTTATGAAGGGTTTACATTGGTTAGTCATTTTGAAATCACCTAGCAACATATTTTAGTACACATCCGCTGTTGAGCTTTATTGAGATGC